ATGTGTCAGTTACTGAAGTATACAAAGAGACTTTTTGTTAGGAAATACCACATTTTAAAAAACAGTAATGCTTTGGGACTAATTTTTTTTACCTCATAAATGTTAATGTGCTAATTACCAAATTGTCACAGCTAATGAAGCATACTAAAGTCTCTGCATATTGTCATTATATGCTGGATATTAAGATTGCTAAGAATTGCAAATATAATTCATACATTTCTATAGCCTTAAAGGGAAGGAGTCAGGCATGTATCTCATATGATTTCATGTAACCTTACATTTCAATCCATTATTGTATAATGTGACCAGTAACTTGAGTTTGGCTAAAATATCTTACCAAAGGTAAGTTGTGAACTGAGGACACCAATAAATAGGAATTATAATGGGAAAATTATTTCAGACATAAATTGCCCTCACTTGCAAACTATGAGCCTTTATGTCTTTTAATTTTTTATAAATTTTAACATTTTAAAAATTAGTTTTCTTGATACCACTGATTCTGTTTTCTAAGTCTTTCTGCTATAAATTAGATTCCTATATTTTTTTACTCAATCACTTTCTGAAGTGCCTTTTTTTTTTGTAGAATAATAGATAATTTTTTGCTTTCAAATCTGTGAAAATCTTGATTTGTCCATAGTAATATTCAATAAAAACTATGTATTTTAAATAAAGGCAGGCATTTACTCTTTGCATTTTCTGATAATTACTTTGTTGTGGTTTGTATCACTTATGACAAGGATGACCAGAACGTGCTTTTTCTGATGTAATTAGACATGTCAAGGTCACTGAAATACATATAACCAAGAAATTTAGCCAATACAGACCCTAGGCAGCCCATTTTTGACTTTATAGACCATTTCAAGTACTTACAGGGTTCTCAACAAACCAGGGGATGGAGGACACACCCTCTCCATGCATTACTTCTCAAGCTGCAGGTTTTTAATTGAACAGTAAATGTAAAAGTCCTTTAAAAAACATATATTCACAGAAAAGTTTAAAAGCAGAGAAGTTACTCAAACTCAGCAATGATTTCTGGTGGAAGAAACTGTAAGTAATACACAAATTCAGATGATGTTATAAAAGAGAGGTTCTGTACTTTTAGGCTAAGCTAGGTAGAAGTTAAGCCTAGACATATTTTGCTATGGCAGTGTGTCCTCAAAAGTGTCCAGAAATACTGTTACCTCCTGTTGGGTAGAGGTAAGGATGATAGCCCTGTTAAGTGATAAAATAAACCAGCAGACTGATGTAGGAACTAAAAGGTGACAGATGGGTGCTAATTAACAGGAGCCATACCCTGATGTTGCCTTGTGCCTGTGACCTTTTTGTAGAGTCAATGAGCTCTACCAGTTACATAGGAAATAAATAAAATGTTCATGTGTTTTTTTCACTAGGAACTGCATGCAGCTGAGCCAACCGTGTTGAACCAGGTCACGCAGTCATATAATAAAAGAGCATAGTTTGAGTCTGTGCTGTAGTTGTTTTTTGCCAAATGATTGCATAAGGTAACCACCATGCTTAGCTATTTGATTTAGTTGAAAACCACAGTCTGAACAGAGACTAAAAGCATTTAAAGATGGAGTAAAGGCTAATGATGCTTTATAGTAGATATGCTAATAATACAGGTTAGTGATTCATATGTGGGAGTAATTTTGCTCGTCAGAGATGTTCTGATAACCTTCTTGAAATACTTCTATACGTTGCAGTTAGTTGAAGATACTATTTTCTTCTGGGTGGATTATTCAAGTACCAAGGCTTTAATAGGAGGCCCATGCCAAATAATGGAGTGCCTTGCAGAGACTGCCGAGTATTTTTCAGTTTCACAATGCTGCAACTTGGCAACCTATGCTGAACAGCTACAGGGCAAGGGAGAGATCTTGGGAGTTGTCACTAATGTGTTTTTTTAAATCAATGAGAAACTGCAAGGGTCTTATCGCAGAGAAACTGTGGCACATTCACAAAGTGCATGACCATTACTTTTTTGTACAATGAAAGCTGAGATGTTAGGTTGTGTATGTTTGCTGTAGTTATCCTGGCTGCACCCACCATGTTGTAATTGCAGAAGCAGGGAAGGGGAACTAAGTGAGAGCACAAGCCCTTTAAAAAAGATACTGCAATAGGATGTAGGAGAAAAGAATTAATTTTGTAGATCTTGTATAGTTTTACCAATGATATCTCATGATCCTACACCAGTTTCTCCATTTGTAAGGAAAGTTAATCTGCTTTCTAGTTTGGGGTTCTTTTTTTAAGGAAGAGAGAATTAATATCAGGTTTTTTAAAAAAAACCCACAACATTAGTAAAGGATATTTAGGCACTTACCTTTTTGGGGGGGCTATTTGATCATATAAATATTGACAAGAAAAAATTATCTGTCCTTAGAACTGTCTGTGAAAAGCTTGAATGGTTAGCATTCTTAAAGGGTCTCCATAACAAAAATGTTTGTAACAACGTACTTCTGCTTTCTAAGCAAGCCTGAGCTTTTTAAAAAAATAAAAAAAAAATCTTTTTTTTTTTTTTTTTTTAAATTGTCTGTTTTGTTGGGAATCATTTAAGATCATGACTGGGATAACAGAGAGGGGCAGAGTGGTCAGATGTACTCACTCTGCTACTGCCCTGGTAATGTGGAGGATTCCAGAAATGCCAAACACCTCATTCATAAGCATTCAGAAAACCCAGACAAAGAAAACCACCTTATTGCAGCAGTACAGTATGGAAAAATAATTGTTTGCTTTTGTTTTCCAGAGGAGCCTTTTGCTGAGGAGGAACCATGACTGCAGAATGTTTTGTCTACAGCTTTAGCTTTGTGCTGAACTGGAGAAAGGGAGAAGGAGTAGTCATACTTGTGCAGGGCTCTGGTGCTGCCCAGCAACCCAATTATATCCTCAAGGAAGAACAAGCCCATTGTAGGAGACCACTGATTTTCTTAGTTTTGTTTATAGAGGGAAGAAGCATGTGGGATAGATATTAGCATGGTCAGGGAGTTATTGAAACTTGTCTGGAAGAGGTTGATGTAATAATTATTCCCATTGTGCTGAGAGGGTCAGAGCCAACTAGACAACATTCAGCCTAGCCACAATTTCTAGCTGTTGAGAGCAGTGCTTCAGGGCATATGGAGGAGACAGGGATGTATTAGGAGATGTTAGCCATAGGTCAAAACTGAAGTCACAATAATACCCTTAAAAAAATTATCTTTTTAATTCTTCTGATCTGTTTTCTTCCACTATGGAAATAAATACTTTGAGGGTACTGTACTCCTAGGTCACAAGATCTTGCTTATTCTTTTCCCCAACACACCTCATTTCCCCCTGCTCCCCAAATCTGAGCATGGCCTTTGACAATGCAGATTGAAAAATATATGCTGTACAATGGGAGCTGGTGTCTACGAGGGGAAGTGTATTCAAATGATACTACAACCATTGAAAATGGTGTTTGCATTGCTTTACTTTGTGACAGTCTGGACTAAAATTATCCAAGAAGAGGCTGAGAGAGGAGAGGAAGGAACATCACCAACGCTGTTGGTTAAGCCTGAGGAACTGTACATAAAAGAGCCATGTCTTTATACAGTTGTGTGCTAACCCAAGCCATCGTATCACACCCATCAGCAAGTTCAGTGCTCCCTCTCGTGGCAGCTTCTGACCAGTAAATCCATCGTAACTCATACCTGTTAGTGGCAAAATGTGTTTATGCTTAGCTATGAGAAGTATCTGGAATCCAACTATTTTAATGCTCCTATGTACCAAGCTTAATAGACTTATAAACACAAATAGCACTGAATTCTTTTTTATTGACATTGGGGGAGAAAAATCTTTCACCATCTGATTGACTGAAGTTTGCCAAATGAAAAATAGACAAAACAAATGTTTATGTACGTGCAAACACTGCAGCTCAAACTGCTGAAAGAAATAACTAAAAGACAGGTCTTGAGCTAAGATCAAGCAGCAGAAAAATAGCAAATAGGTAAATGACTATTAAGTAGGTCTTACTTTGAAACTTCCCATTTAAACAAAGAATAAACAACAATAACACCACCAAATAAAGCCACAGCAGGTAATAGTTGCTCTTCTAAACTTTTGTACACTATATATTAATCACTCTGTCTTTCAGTTATTTCCTCTGATAAAACTGACTTCTGTGAAGTCTCAGCAAGGCCATCTTGGCTAAAAGCGTAACGTTAGACAGGAGCCTGTCTAATGCCCTGTTATAATGAAGAAGAAATGGTGGGATTTGGCTTCTCTTTTCTTTCATTTTCTTTGTTGAATATATCTGGAAATAAGAATCTGACTCTATGCAAATACTGGATGTAATTTTCCAATGCTGGCTGGTGACTGAAGGTCCTGGAACGAAAAGGTGGCTCTTGGTAAAGCAAGATTCTTCTTGGTCCACAGGTAACATAGAAGAAAGTTTTTTGGTTTTCTATAAATCATGTTTTATTAAATTACTTTTTTTTTGGTAAACAGTTCTTCTGGGTTAATTTGTTAAGAGGTGAGCCATTATGGTGCTTCTCTATAGATATCTGACATTTCCATTTTGTCTTTAGAGGTCCATTTTGGCTCCAGTTCCAGGTTATGTCATTCTATTATACATCATCAGAGGCAGGTGTTCAGCTTTAAATATTGACAGATTTTCTCAGTAGGAACATGTTGAAGCTTCTAACTCTGCTAAACATATTTATTTGACTGTTACAATCCAAAAACTGTAAAAATGGTGGAATGGAAAGATACAAACAGTATTATTGACACTGTATTGTCAAATGTTTGCACTGAGACCCCATGTACCATAGATTTTATTTTTAAAAAATCATATTTATATCCATTTACATAAGACTTACACATTTTAAAAGAAATACATACACAGTAAATACGTAAATGTCTAGTATTTTACAATAAAACAGATGGAACAATGTAAAAATGAGTGGCTTCATTTGATAAAAGCTTTGGATGTGCACTACTGCCAAATTTCTAATGAAATTAGAAAGGGGGAATTTTTGTTTTTCTTTTTTTAATAGAAATTTAGGTATTTTTTTTTACTCTCATTTTAAACTAACCAATACATGAAAGGAACATCACATCTATCTGAGATACCTTTTGTGTTCCCTATTACCCTGTTCTTGCAGAGAGTTTTAATGCTCTTTTTCTTAAGTAGTGGTAGTGCACTTCAGGTAAAGTAGAAGAAAGAGATGACATCTAAGGGAAAAAATAAACAAACATTAATTAGTGAGATTTTTTATTCTAATGTGGTCTAGGATGCAATGACACCAGAAAATATTATGACACTAAGTAAGCTATTGTATCATTTACTAAAACATGACCTTTGAGTATCTGAGGGAGACATGCCTTTGTTGTTTTATGTCTGCAATATAAATCTATTAATAATGCATTTTAATTTCTTGTCCTAGATTGAAACAAACTCCTGCTTATGTTCATTTTACATTTGTTTTCTTGCAGTTTTGATTGAGCAATGGGGTTAATTTCCTGTATCTGTAGACTTTTGCCCATTTGGCAGAAGGTTGAACACATTTTAAGGGCATAGACCTTGTTGGAATATGCTGTGGTTCTCCTTGTTCACTGCAGCTTGATAGCATTTACCTTCTTCCACCCTGATGATTTCATTGCTATGGACCAGCTATTTCCAAATTATCATTCACATCTTTTTGGAATTATTCTTCTCCATCTGTCTTTACAAATCCTCTTTGGAACACTTCATTGATGAAGTACATAATTGATTTTACCAAATCCCCTTTGACATTTCATTAGAAGAAAAGTGAAACTAGTATGTTCTATTACCCCAGCCTGTGGCAATGAAGCTGTCCCACCTGAGCCTTCTGACTTGGTGGTGACAAGCATTTGATAAAAGCATTGGGGAAACGTAGTGTGACTGCCACATCCCCTGGCTGTGTATGTGAGCATTGCAGATGCTCAGCTGGGCAACATACAGCCACCACAGCAGAGAGCTTGAGCCCTCCCTTGTGCTCCATGGTAAAGTTCTTCACAAGATTAAATAGCCAGACACCAGCAGTCTTAAATGTTCTTAAATTTCTGAACTTGAGAGTGCATTCAAACTGAGCTGTGCAGAGTATGCCCACGTAACTGTCCTGAGAATGTCAGTTCATGATTTCTGGCAGCCTGTCATGGTGGTTTCAACCAATGTTTTTAAAAAATACAAAATGCAACTTGAAAGCATAGGAACTGAACCCAGCTGTTGTGAAGAAACACCCTAAAACCCTGTAAGATTGTACCTAATTGGTATTTGACATTCTCTGTAAGAAAGGTGAGTAGCAGAATGCAAGAATCTGCAGCCTGCTGTGATCGCAGGCCATCTCATTTCTTCCACCTGCAAACCTGTTTACAGCTCTCTTTTCAGTCTCCTCTTCATATGCATATTCCCCTTTAGTTTTTTAAAAGAATATCTTATAGTGCTGTTGTATGATAGCTCATACAGCTACTCACCCCCTCTGCTTCTTTCTTAGAATCAGTCCCTGATTCTATGCATGCAGATAGTCTAGTGACCAGAGTAACACAAATACTGATGTTATTGTAGGCAAGGTGTTACAAGCCTGGGTCTCTGTCTGACCTGGATCTGGAAAATTTCAGGAGGCATGTTGTAATGAATAATCTTCCCTTTTGTCGAAGTATCAATCAGTTCCTTCCATGAAGAAACTGTTACTCAGGAACTGTGATCACAAAATTCTGAAAACTCTTATGTTGCCCTTCAACCACCTTCACATCCCCCATATGAGCAGTTTTTGTTCATGTGTTCGTCCTTGAGATTCAGGTAATTTGTTTAAGTTTTCAAGTTTGATATAGTAATGAAGGAAATCATTTTCCTGCATATTTTTATATGATTTACTGAAACGCAAAATTATTTTGACTTGCTCTTTGTTTTCCAACCTGCATTATATTCTGAAATGGCACTTATGAACAGTGCATACACTGAAGTTCTAGTTCACACCACCTCGTTGCTTCTTTAAAAGGAGTATATGGCAAGTGAAAAGTGGCAGGCATCTTCATATATTAGCTTTTACAGTTTAGATGTTAAGTTGATATTCTTATAGAGCTCTCAGGCGTTTAAGATTAGAATGTAAGTGGCAGAATAGTGGACAATCAGCAGGTACCGATGTGATACATATCACTGATACCTGAAACACTACTAATACTCCTATAGATATTGAAGTTAACTTGTATAGCTTGTATAACTTTGTATAAAGATCTTTTTGCTGAAAATACGTAACTCGCACATACATATAGTGCCAGCAAAGTTTGCTACTTTAAGTCTGTTTACGGATTGCTACTTTTTAGACAATTTTTGAATACAGTGGGAATAAACAGCTTGAGCAATCTTAAATTAACTTTTGTTAACATACCAATTTTCAATATCTGCCCTTGTTGCGCTCTTCAAACCTATTGGAAAATATCACCTCATGTGCCTGGCCCACTACTGTTGGGTTAATAGATGGCTTGGTGTTTGAACTTCATTTCGTGGTCATACTTTATTGCTTTCAGCATTGGAATTCTGAAGCATGTAGGAGAAAAGATATGCATCTCTGCTATCAGTTTCTACACTGAATCCGCTGAGAGTAGTAATTGCCTTCGCTGACATAAAACCAATCTCTAATCTATACATACTTACACATAAAAAAGATTTATATAGTTTACATGCTTCATCATCATCATCTTTGTAGGACCAGCTGCTATAATTACCTATTTTAGGGGGAAAAAAAAAATCTCCTGTGCTTATTTTTCAGTGGTGGCATGAAAAGTTCCCTTTTCTACTAGATTAAGATTTTATACTCTTGCAGTCTCCTGAAGATCTGTAAAGTAAGGTTCATGTCATTGGTAGGATCCTGAGCAATCTATGTTTTCCAACGGTAACATTTGTTGTTCCTAAACACTTTTTGAACACACCCACAATAAGTAAAATTTCGATGGCACCAAGTGTCTCCCAGTCTTGGGAATCAAAAGGAAGGAGTTTTTTGCACATCCTGGCATGTCCTGCCTACAATATGTAACAGCTATTGAAGCATGTTTAATGCCTGGTGAGGTTTTTGTGCTATCAAAATATTCTTTACAGGTCTGCTACAGTCCCCTGAGTAAATAAATGGAACACTGTTTTACTGAGAAAATATTAGCATGAAATGGTGCCATATTGATGAAAGCGCTCATCATGTTACTATTGTTTACAAAACTTGTAATGCAGCAGCAAACAGTGTATTTTCACAGAACTCCGGAAGAGTGACTCTGTGAGATTCATAGCCCTATTTAAGAGATAAGTGGTGAGAAATGCAACATGAATTCCAGTACTAGACTTGATCCAAAGTTGCATTCAGGTCAGAATATCCTTTCTTTTGCCACTGGTCAATTCTGAATCATTTGAGAAGTGCAAGAATCTCTGTAGTAGATGATTTTGGACGATTTTTTGTATAGGGGAGGTATTGTTCTAGCTTTATTCAGCTACCTGATGTTCTGAATTGAGCCACATGACTCATAAAAGAAAGAGAAGTAAATCTCTTCTGCTTTACTAGGTTTTTTGGTTGTTTTTTTTTTTTACCCTCTCTCCCTAGCTCCTGGTAGAACTACTTCAATTTTCATAAAGTAAATTCACTCCTTGTGCCTACTGCTGTGTCCCCAGTTCTAGCTTTAAGTTTGAGAGCATACAAAATACGTTATGGTTTGTGAGCTATCATCTGAACAGAGTTGTCTGAAAACTTTTTTCTTATCTGATCAAGTAGTTTCATCAGAAAGAACCTGCTATTTGAGATGGGGAAAAGAATAGTGTAGCATCTCCTGGACTGAGCTTGAGACTGCTGTCATGATCAAATGACCACCCTAATGAGTCTGAGTTAGGTCCTCTGCTCCATGTCAGCTCTTGCTTGAATGATGCCAAGGAATATTGGGTGTAGTGTACAATTATAAAGAGCTTTCATGATGGCTCCTTCTGAATACTCACAACAATTCAGTGCTGGCTTCTTTGCTAGGCCTTGTCAGCATGAGTATGTGCGAACTGTTGAGCTGTCTAACCTCTGCAGTCGTGATGAAGCAACTGAAAATTGCAAAAAAAAAAAAAAAAAAGAAACAAACCAGAACCTCTTTAGAATCATGAAGAAAATATATCAATCTGTTTCCTACTGGAAGGATGGCTATTAAATTGCTCTGTGACTTTCTATGACACAACCTGGGCATGGTCTATTTCAGAACTCAGAGTTTCTTCATGTTGGGTGTACTATTGATATCTGTCTTAAGTGAATGCAGTTTAAAACTCAATTTTGTCTTTATTTAGTTGGAAGTCCTAACAGTGTACCTATCATGATGTTTAATTACTGTAGCGTTCATAGCACTAGGAGATAGGAAGCCAAATCCTGGATGAAGGTGTAGGTCTTCAGTCTACTGAGTTCAGTACCCAGCTCAATAATAAACTGTCTGGAAGACTTCCAAGTAAATCACTAAACCTCCCTTGTACCTTAGCTCCCCATCTGTAAAATGGGAGTAATATCTTCTACAGCATAGCATGCCTAGAAGATGAAATCCATGAATGTTTGTAAGGTTCTTAGCTACTACAGTAATGTGGACCATGAAAATACCTAGGGAGCTAGTACCTTTATTTGTACATGGAATTTGACTTGGAATGGATTCTTGTCTTATGACTTCATCATTGCCAAAAAGTGCAGGATTAAAAGCAAAGCATGCACATGAGCAGTGGAGTCAATGGAATTCAGTGATGCAATCAGTAAATTATTCCATCTGTAACTATAAAGTATTGTTTTTAAAGGTGAGAAACTTCAATGGAATTTAGATGGCTTTAATGGAGTTTAGATGGCAATACTGTCATACCAAGTTCATTCAAGAGTTACAGAATGTAATCACTACAAGCAGTGTATTCAATTACTTTGAGACAAGTCTATTCATAGACCTAAATTCTCTCATGAGGAAATAAACAGCAGTATTTGAAATGGGCCTGTTTGTATACTGGTACTTCTCAGAACTTCAGGCAGGTATACATGGCTTTATCATCTATATACCAGAAGGAACAGCTGCAATGGGATTTGTCCCTCCTCCCTGCCCTCTTACAAGGATTTTTAATTTTTACTTATTTTTTAATTGTGATCTGCTTGTTACTTTTCCAATGATTGCTGAGTTTGTGCATCTTTTGGAAGTTAAAAGATTTCCAGAGAAAATTAAGACTAGTATATAGTAACTCAGTGCATACCTGGAATTTAGTACTCGCTAACTACACTACCCATCTGTTTTTTATTGTTAGCAACTTGAGTTATTTGATGGTCGAGGCTAAGCTAGTTAGTTTGAAAGTGAAATAGGAAAATGAAAATGATAGTCCTTTCTAAGTTCATTCTCTAAGCTGCACTCCATCTGCTAGAGGGGCTAATGAGCTGAAGCACTTGCTTAGAAATCAGTAGTATGCCAAGTCAGTGCTTTTCCATTCCCTAATTCCCTCCCAGGCTCCATTCATCCTTATACCAGTTAGGTGAACACAGCTGTTCCAGTGCAAGACAAACATATACTGAAAGTCAATTTATCATGCTGGAATAAGCTGCTTGCTTTTCAACAGTAAGTGCAGAAATGACTGCATACCATCGGTTGCCATCTTCCGCGACTGCCCGGATGTTGTGGTTAATCTGAACCCAGCTGGCAGCGTTTCTGAGGAGCCCGGCATCATGCTGATCCCGTGAACCTCACGTGGAGGAAACTGTCGTCGCCAGGAGGGGCCTCGTCTGAAGTTCTTGTCATCACTCTGTTAACACACAGAATTGTAAAGCAAAATGAAATTTTTTAATTATCGCACTCTCTCCTGCCTCTTCCACTGTCAAATATATTCCACAGCAACTACCCTGCTCTGTTGCATTAGATCCAGTAACCTCAATGTGTTTGAGACACTCTTGGAAAAGTAAATGCTTTAGAAATGTTAAATGCTAGTGTGGAAAACTCTTCTTAAATCTCTGGCTCAATATACTAGAGGGTTTTAGTATCAGCTAAAGTAGAACTTTCTTAAAAGTTAGATCTCTTCCAAATACAGTGACAGAAAGTGCAGTGGTTTGTTACAGTATTATGAGGCTTATATAAAGTGCTAATAAAGAATTAAACACTCATGTGCATGCACAGAATTCATAGGCATCTCACATTTTCTGCAAGTCCTTAAAAGTTTTATTCCTCATCACATGCAGAAGTCCAACACTTGAACATTTTTGCACTGGACTCTTACCATAAGTTGAATATTTTTCATTGCTGGATTTGAGATTCCCCATCCTAGAAAGCTGCCCCAAATCCCACTCCATTACATATTAAGTTTGAAGAACCAAAAAAAAACCACCCCAAACCCCACCAAAAATCCGCTTTTCTTCTTTCTTCTTTCTTTTTTTTTAAAGAAAGTGTGTAAGTATCCTAAACAATAGGTTGCAAAGGCATCCCCTCCCACAACTTGATCTGGCCAGTGAAACTTCCACTCCTTTCTTCATCCTTCCTGTATGGAAAATTTTCATCTCAGGGTAAGAGTGCAGTGCCAAATGTAGCATCCAAAATGATATGAATATGTAGGCATACTGATTTTACTTTAAAAACCTTGACAGGCATTTCCAAATTTTTTCTTAAAGCTGTAACTGACACTTTTAAACAATGTGCAAATTAACATATCTTCATGCATTCAATTTAATTTTTACTGTGATATTTTATAAATACTGAAAATAAAATTAATTACTTCCTCAAGTCGTCTTTCAGTTCCTAGTGCTAAAAGGTTGTTGTATTCTCTCTCAAGGATCTGCCGTGCCTAGAGATACCAAAGTAAAAAATTAAAATGATTGAAGAGGAATAGAAGGAAATAATGGGTACAGATTAACCAGAAGTAGCATGAAAAAACTTGCCTGGGTGTTTTGTGTTGGAATCTGTAATAATAAAGCTAAACTGCTGTAATCAAAGTTTTCATCCAGTGCTATAAGTGAACCATGTACACCACTTTCTAGAATATTATTTGCATATTCTCGGAGGCCAATAGCTTGTATCCAGCGTATGACTCGATCATTGCTCCATACCAGCACATCTGTAAGGACATAACACCAGCTCAGTCTCCCGATGCCCTGTAACTGCCGAACTATACAGGTTGTGCATGCACTGTGGACATCATACTGCTTTCTTTCTTAAATAAGGAATGCCAGTAAACTATTCATATAGCTTTAATGGCTTCAGTATCTCCTATTCAAAACCCAAGGTGTGGGAGCAACCGTGCGAGTTTAGCTACCATCAAGTTAAATACTTATTCTAAATAATGTTTCCAAAGGAGAAAGGTGCCTCCAGAGGGCATCTCCAGAATGCAATTCCTCCCACATCCTATAGATATCCATTTCAATTCTTAGGCAAGATTTTACAGTTTAACAGTGCAAGGGCACAGGAGAAATATCCGTTCCTCAAGGCTTCACTGGAGAGTTTTGTATTAAACATTCTGAGAGTTGGGTCAGCACCTACCATTTTGTAACATGCCATAAAGCAAATGATGAGTTCACAATTTTAGAGGCTAAAAGTATTTTTGGTTCAGAAAGCTGGTTGAGCTTTTAAAGTCTATGCCAATTATAAAGCTAAGGCAACAAAACAAGCTAGGAACATTTTTGAGGATTTGTCTATTATAAAAAAGTATCCTGCCTGTAAGATTAGAAGAAAGTTACTTACACTGATCTTTGTACTTGTGAGTAGGAAATGTAATACTGAGTTTTATGTTGCTAAGTGATGAGACTTTTTCCTGAACCCTTAGAAGTCCAGCTAACGTAGCTGTTCTGGGAGCAGGCATTCTCCCTCGCCTGACCAAGAGTATCCCAGACTTCAGGCATCAGGATCAGCTGAAACACTGTGCCAGCCAAGGATCACTGACCAAATCCCACCTGGAACCATGTCTAACTGACCAATGCATGACAGGGTGAAGGTTGGGTGAAGGAGGCTATGGGTTTTTACCCTTGTCTTAGTGATGATTAGCATTGAAGTAACACCAGAATTTGAGACCAATACCCAATTTCCCCATGTCAGTCTCCAGCTATACCCACTCAGGCTGACTGACACTGATGTCTCCACATGCAAATCAAAGCCTTTGCGTTAGTGCTCGCCATCTTCTGCACTGAGTAAATACATGCTTTCATTGTAGCCGTTCCCCCTGCCACTTCTGGTTTTTTATCTCTTCCAATCAGCAGTGCGCTTGAGAAGTGTTAACTGCTGCCATTCTCTAGAGCTGGAAATTGTAATATATAAAAGGAACTGTGCAGTGACCCTTCAGCTACTCTAGAGAGCTTTACAGAGAAAAATCCCTTTAAATCAGCTGTTAAATCTCCTAATAAGGCCTGCTCTGTTAGGAACTATTTTTATAGTTAACCGTCTCGGTGGCCACCCCTCCAAGCAATGTTTTCTGTGATATGAAATTTACACATTTTGAACTAAGAAATCAAAGGCAAAGCTTTTCAAAGGCAGGAGCACAGTGTTAGGGTCCTGAGTGCTCCAATTACCCAGTGTTGCACCCAGCACATCCCACTGATCTGCAGGCTATTCAGCCTTCTGCTGCTAGGATAAGATCTGTCCCCAAAATCCAATTTAGCAAAATGTATGTATCAAACTGCCATTTAGAATTGCAGCCCCAATTTAGCAAAGTACTTTACTGTGCCTAATTTAAGGAGATGCTTTGTGTTCTGAAGACAGATGGACTTAATGTTATTTTACTTAAAGCACATGCTTAAATGCTTTGCTAACATGGCATGACAAGGGGTTAATAGTGTCAAGCTTCAAAAGAAGAAACATTCCCAGGAACTATCACCTTTTATTTCATGCTGACTCATTTCTCTTCGCTTTTCCAGTTCTTTTCTATCATAATTCAACCTCTTTAAACACATGATTCCATACTGCAAGCTTGTTCTGTTATTTAAAGAGAAACATTTACAGAGTTAATAAAGATAATTTTGAAGATGGGGAAAATATGTAGGATGTATTTCCTGCATTTCACATGAAGTGTTTCATGGTGCCCATGTAGCAAATCTTGAGGACACAGGGGAGAGTGAAACCATTAAAAAAACCTCAACAGAATTCAAAAATGAAATGGACAAAACCAAAATGAGTATGCTTGAATAAATATTCTAGCATAAGAATCACAAAATATTAAAAATTGTGTTCAGAAAAGGTCAGTCCTTGTGAGCTGTAAAATGTTTTGTCAAATCAGGCCTCAAAAAAGTGGCAAATCAGACAGTACATTAAAAAATAAAATCACTTCTTGTCACATAAACATCATTCTCCCTAAAGTCTAAATGCCTTTATTTCCATATTTCCAATTTAGCTTCCAGGCAATATCCCTAGATAACCCGAAGAACTGTCAATTTGCTTGTACTGTTAACAGCATTTATGTGCTACACAAAATAGCTTTTCATTATTATGAGAACTCAGGGCTTCAAATCTTAGTCTACCATTTTCTGATACTTTAAACCACTTAATAAATTATTACTGTTTCTGTATAGTCAAGGCTTTATTTATATAGTAATGGTTCCCCACTTATGAAATTTATCTGTACCAATATCTTAGTTTTGAGAGACAAAATTGCAATGTGGCTGCTATTACTAAAGGACTCTTTCTGAATTCAGATTTCTGACACTCAACACTCACTTTTCTGAGTGGTTTTTCCATGCCAGAACACCACAGTATTTTTATTCTGTGCAGCACTGAGCACTACGTCAGACACATAAATGTCTCTATATATGTGTAGTCTTTATGCCAACATACCGATGAAAGCTATCCACCATTTTTAAGTGCACACGCAGATCTTTCTTTGTCAGGTGATCTAACATCCTCGCATCTACCAGGCATTCCATAAAATAACTTCGGTATTGAGGTAAACCCAGACTGGGGAGCCATTCGTTACCTATCCATTCGTGGTTCATATCGCCATAAGCCAGGGTCTACAAGGAAGGAAAAAAGGGAGGGGGGGGATTAAAATCTTGAGTTTGTTCTAAATTGCACCACAGACTTTAGCCAAAATATCTATATTCTATGCTTGTTTCTAGTGAGACTTCCTAGCTCTGAAATTCTGTCTAGACTTCCTAGCTCTGAAATTCTGTCTAAACAAAAAGCACTTCAATTTTACACCATTTTGACATTTGAGGTGAGAGCCACTGCCTGTTTTGTCTTGTTGCCTACCTTTGTAAAATGTAAGCAGGTTTTTTTTTTTTGTAATAATAAATTGTAGTTTAAATTTCAAATTTTAAATGCAAGCAAACTTATTACATAATGCAAATGTGTTTGTTTCATAATCTTGCTTTCAACTGACCTCCTAGAATACTGGTGCTAGGCAGATCCTACATTAAACTTGGTAATATAAACATGGCCCCAGGGAAGCAACTGAAGTTTGTGTCACTGTGTAGTGGAGGCTAGGATTTCCTGAATAGGATCTAATGACACTTTATGATAACACGCCTGTAGTCCTTCTGAGACTAAAAGTTAATTTTGGTTGTTTGTCAGCCAAGCTTACCTGACCTGCATTCAGCATCAGTCAGAGCAGGTGACCAAATACATTCTATTAATGAAGACTTTTCAGCTGTGAACAGCTTAAACCTAAGTACATATATGCAGAGCTCAATAAATTAATTCTCTAAGATAGGAGCAAACCAAATTCCTCCTAGAAGCTAGCATTCAGGCATTAAGCTACTTCATTGTTCAGCTGAAATTTCAATAGGGTGAGGAAGAAAGTATATGAAAAAAACACATGCATGTTGAGCTATTTTTATATGGGTTGCAGAATTAAGATGCAAAATAGGTAGATTTCACATCTCACTGTTGTAAATTACTTTGGTACTACTAAAATTTAACAGAAAAGAGAACTTATAAATTGCAAGATTAACACCTCCTCAGTAGGATCCTGCTCAGCTTTGGACATCACTTTCAAGCCTAACTATCCTTTTGCTTTTGTTTTTAATGTTTCCTGTCATCATAGATAAAAATATAGGCCCTTCACCTCTCATTCTTATGAGATTTTGAAGAGAAAAGGAATGCCATAAATAAAGACAGAAAAACTATATGTGTGTGCATACATTATATAGAGAGAAAGACGCTGAAGAATATAAGTAATTGATAGTCCAACTAAAGTGAAAATGTTTCTTCCTAATTATACAGGACTATTTGTAGACTGATACTTGGGTGTGATTTATTCAATTGTTCAAAAAAAAAATCTGTTGTAATTTTAGAAATGTTAGATCTCAAACTCTTGGCATATTTTATGAGCCTGTTCTCAAAAATGGGGAAAATAATTTTCCAAGATGTAGCTGGGAAGAAGGAAGAAGGAAGATGAAGAAGAAGAAGAAGAGGAAGAAGAAGAAGAAGAAGAAGAAAGAAGAAGAAAGAAGAAATGTAGCCAGTTGGGAATATTTAGGCTTTCTCTGTCTCTCTGAATGTGAATTTACCAAGCAAAAATCATGGTCATAATAGGATGAAGGAATATAAGGGTGTGACCTAACATGCCTGCATATATGACTTTACTGTACGTGCCCTGGTGCAGGGACACTGCCAAGCATCCCTGTGTGCCATGATGTAAAATGCTTTCCCCATCTTATCAGTCACCACATAGCCCCAGGCTGCTGCACATGACCTAACTTTGAGGTGGGTTTCAGGCATCCATTCAAATCATAGCTGCCTCTGCTTAATTTTTTTGATCATCCTTGGGACATTAACAAATCATATTAGTGGCTGGGAGTGTAAAATAAAGGACTCTGTTGAGGAATCTGGAAACATTACTTTGCATATGGTAACAACAATTTATTTTAAGAAAAATATCTACAGCATACGTACCTCTGTGTTTTACCTAGCAAACCTGTCCAGAGAGTATTTCCTTTGTATTAGAAGTCTAAAATATGTAAATCCTAATTCTATCACTGAGCTATTGTCACAATATTATACTTCTCTCTGCATATTCATACACTGGTAATGATATTATTATTAGTTTTCCATTCAAAAAAAATTATGTGAAAGGGTCATACCTGAGCCCAGCTGCCTTCTTCAGACTCTTTCTGTGTTATCAGCAGGATTTTTTGGAAGCAATTAGTAAAGCAGGTAAAAAGGCAATAAAAATGAGTTACAAAAATATATGAGTTTCATGCATATGTTAATCTTAGTACAAATGAATACATACATGTAAAATGTGCTGATAAAATATCTGAATTCCAGTCAGTGGCAAAGCCCTGGGGTAAGCTACCTTAAAAATGACAAGACTGAAACCATAAAATCTTAGTAGGCAAATCTAGCTAAGTTTTCAAGATATAAAATCATTACAGCTTGATGAAACTTTACAGCACTATCTTAAACACTATATGGTTTCACGATCAAAACACAACCATTTACTTATAAAATTGGGCATTAGAGATGCCAATTTTTGATTCTAGTTAGATTTTGCAACATTCACAATAAAAAGCTGTCTTCTTGTGAATGTATTGCAAAGGAGCTTTCTATATAAGAATTTAATGGCAAAACTATATTTTTCTGGCTGACCAGTTAAACAGGAATGACTGTACTTTTCAGGTCAATTGAGTGTTGTTGTATTTGTATTTACCAACAATAATAAAATTGAAAAGCAGCTCAGTTGTAAAAAAAATTATTGATGAGAAAGTTAATGAGAAAACTTAAAATAATAAAGCAAGTATAAATTTCTAAGAAATAAGTCTTTATTGCATCAAAATTTAGCTTTAGTACC